TCCGTGAAGACATCGTAGTCTATCTGTTCTGTGTTACCATTGAGATAGAGTCCATAGGTGGACGTTCCTTTCAAGTATCTTAGGATTCGCAAGGCCGCTAGCCAATGCCTTTCATTATAGCATGTTAAAAATCTACTTAGATCGCGAACTGCATTTGCAATGTCAGGTCTCGTGCCTCTGACGAGATACTGCAATGAACCTATAAGTCCCCTCTAGTCGTAGGGTTGTGCATCAATCTGCTCCCTTGACATGTTGCTTTCAGCAATCAACTCTTGTCCTACTATTTGAGGTGTCGATACTGTTGAAGCTTCGGCCATACCGAACTTTTCCATCAAATCATTGATATACTTATTCTGAGAATTCGTCATAAGTCGATTGTTGCGGTCACGTTTGACTTCCATTTTGAGAATGTAACTGATCTCGCCAAGATCTTTCATCTTGAAGTGGCCAGATAGTTCAGCCTTTATTTTGTTCACACTTTGGACACTTGGAGAAACTATAGTAATGTCATCGACATATACAACTAATATGACCCAGTCACTTTCTTTGGTACTGAACACTTGGCTCAATTCTCCCACTTTTAGGACGTAGATACAATACTCTTTGTAGCACCGTACAAAACCCATTTCTGTGAGGAAAGCATGTAGAACATTGTACCAAATTCTAGGTGCCTGGCGTAGGCCATAGAGACTCTTCTTTAGGCGAAGAACAAACTCAGGTCCTTTCCTAAAGTAGCCCACAGGCTGTCGCATGTAGATTCTCTCAGTTAGCGTTCCATTTAGAAACGCTGTAACAGCATCCATTTGATGACACTCGACATTGAGTATAGTTACTATTGCTAGTACAAGTCGTAATGACTCATATCGAGCGACGGGAGCATAAATCTCGTCACAGTCGACTCCAACTTTTTGGTGGCAACCTTGTGCTACGAGTCGTGCTTAGTAACGCTCAATTTTACCATTGGATAAATATTTTACATTAAATACCCAATGGCAGGGAATAACTTTTTCATCCAATGGCATTGGACATAACTCCCATGTGTCATTTTCCAAGAGTGAGTTATATTCAGAATCCAGTGCCTGCACCCAGTTGGCGCGATTGTCACATCGCATGGCTTCCTTGTAAGACTTTGGTACTTTATGACGCATGCGATGCTTATCAACAGCGATTTTGTCGGTTAACTTATTAACCATACTAGTATTGCAGCTATACTGCAGGCGACTGGGTTGTTGTCTTTTACGTGCACTACGTTCTAAGTATGTTACCGTTTCAATTGGCACTGGTTTGGGGAGTGATGTTTTCGAAGCAACTCCCACTGTCTCTGCAGGTGTCCCAACTCCCACTGTCTCTACTGTAGTGTCAATTTTAGAACGTTTGTTTCGTGGCTCATCATTGCCAGAAATTTCTAGTGGACGTTTGGAACCACTTAGTTCCTTTATTTCGCACAATTCGTCGTCATTTAAAACGGTATCATTAGTTTCAAACGCATTACGAATGAACTCTTGTGATGATACAGGGTCGAATAGAATGTCCCTTGCGACGAAGTAGCGATCTCGTTCAATATCAAGAAGACGGTAACCCTTGTACTCTTCAGAGATACCGAGGAATCTACACTTTGTAGCTCTAGCAGAGAGTTTCTTGTCACTCCTAAGCTCTTTGGGTACATAAGCCCAGCACAGGGAACCCCATGCGTGTAAACGACTCACGTCCGGTGCTTCTTTATAGAACATTTCGTACGGTGTTTTAAACCCAAAG